ATATATATATATATATGCATGAATGCATGCATGCATGTAGGCACGTGCATGATGTGTGCACGTATGTCTCTACTTGTCTATGCATGTAGGCATGCGTGCATCGTGTGTGCACGTATGTCTCTACTTGTCTCTGTGTGTGTCACGGCGCGCACACACAGACGTAATACAACATGATATGAGATGATGTAACATGGTCTTGTCGTACGACATCTTGTAAGACTTGATGGCAGAGCATTGGCCGAAGCAATGCTCCTGCGTGTTGCCCCCCTCAGGGTGTGAAGAAGGCAAACTTCCACCGGGTGCGAATCCACGTTGGCATGGCCCGCGAAAAGGCCAAGGACCTCGACGGAGGTCACAGTGAGCCGCAGTAGGGACCAAAGCTCAGTGCTCAGTCTGCCATGTCATGCAGCAGGATTTGAAAAGACGGAAAGCTCGAGAAGCCAGGGAGAAGGAAATCGAAGAAATGAAGGCTCGCTTCGAGTGCCGCCTGAAGAAATGAAATCATAAGCTCCGCTTGCTATTTCCTATCAGCAGCTGCTGTGCATGTCCCAGCCTCTAAAGGCCAACAGCGCCCAAGCCTAGCATTCTTAGATGTCACTCTGCTTGCCTGGCAGGAAGCCTTCAAGACAAAGGCCAATCCCCCGCTCTTCCTCTGCTGGAAAGCAGTGCTTCGAAAGGGTTTCAGCCTTTGGCCTTTCGAGTTAAGAGGTCTGGACAAGGCTCACAGCACTAGGCCTCTCGTCCTGCCTGCATGGTGAATCGACTGGGCCCAGCAACGAAATGCTTGTGAGCTGGGCTCCAAGACTGGGTCATGAGATGCCATCGCCACAGCCAGCCCTGCGTAGTACGATTGTCGTGGTCCAACGAGCACGACGAGCACCAAAGCCTCGGCGTCGTCCCAAGCACGACGGCTCTTTCGATCCACACCGGATGCCAGAAAACTTGAGCCAAACATCCCCAAACATACCATCCAACAATGAGCCAAGAGAATAAAAGCTAAAGTCCCGGACCCTCCGGGAACACTGGGCGCCGCTGCATGGAAGTGCTGCGACTTCTGGGCAGCTCGGAGCGCAGCGTCGCCACTGCCTGCAAAGGCTTCGAGTCAGTCGCGGTTTCAGGCTTTTAAGGTTTTGGATGTCACAAATGCTAAAAGTGACTAGATAGTGTAAGAGCAAAGCTTGCAAAGTGAAGTGTAGGCTCGCCAAGGAAACGCAGGCAGCGTCTAGCAGTCAAGTCCCAAGCTGTTGGAGTTCCGGCTCCAGACTTAAGAGGGCAGTTTTTGGTAGAGGTTTGAACAATGAGCTCTAGGATCCCCTGACAACTCCTGAAGCCAAGTAGGACGTTTAGATGTGTAGGAGGGGTGTTTGGGAAAGTCAGGCAAGGATGTCCGTCTATTAAGGTTTCAGAAGTATGAAGAGCACTGAACCAAGTGCTCGCTGGTTTGGACCAAAGGCATCGCTTTGACTTACAGAGCAGAGCCGTGCCAAGCGAACAGGGTCAGATTCACCGATGACGGCTAACAGCCGTTAGCCACTAGCCCAACCGAAACAAAGGGTTGAGGCCTGTTAGGCCCTTGTAGGGTTGCCGCCTTTCGATGCTTGCTTGGGCAGCTGCAGGCGTGGAGACTGTCGGTGGCCCAGATGTGGGGAGGGCTCAGAGTCTCAGAGTGCTGTCAGATGGGCGACGCACACCTAATAGATCCAAGCAGAAGGACTCTGATGTGGCGATTCCGCAACAGTTCTTGTAAAGGCTTGTGAAAACCTCATCTTGTGCCTGAACATGATCTCACATGATTCTCGTTCTAATAATACTTTAGAAGAGGCTCTGTTCGAGAGCTTACGCCGCGTGAGCCGCTTGAAAAATTCAGAAGATCACATCTTGCGCATTGCTCGTTTCAGGGTCACTAGATCTTCTTGAGGCGAGAAGGCACTCCGAGCTGCAAAGTCCGGAATCTCTGGGCCCAGGTGTGCACATTGCTGGACAACATTGCCCGGGCCCCCGAGAATGAGAAGTTTCGACAAATCCGAAAGAGGAGCCATGCCGGTCATGTGGGATGCTGGGAGCTACAAGTGTTACAAGTAGTCAAGATTGCACGCATCCAACAACATCCAACAACTAGTACGTAGTAAGTAGTAATCAAGGTTTTCCACTATAAGTGTGCTATAGCAGTTATAGCAGTTGAATTTATGAAGGCCCGCGTATTCCCAGCCGCTGCAATGAGTCTGCCTTTTACGGGTGTGGAACACCAGTCGCAAGAGGCAAAACGATGACGCCCGTCCAGCTTCTTCGATTGCAGGATGTTCTTTACCCACCACGAAGCCGTGTTTCGCAAACAGTGGCTGCAACACGGCCTGACTGTGGTCTCTACGTTTGCCTGCGGCTTGCATCCAGCCTGCATCACTCGTTGCAGCGGCTTTGAACCTGAAACGAACCGACCTTTGCCTGACTCCTTGCATGCAAAGCAGGAATCCTACCATCGCCCGGCTCCTCGGCGTTGAGGAGGCAGCTTGTGATGTGTCGCGTCAATAGGCGAACTACTATACGCCTGCACCGGAATAGGGATTTAAGCTTCTGGCTGACCCTCTTGATGGGATCATGCAGGGCCGCCAAGCCAAGCATCCACCGTCCGCAGAGCTCGATTCGGTTGGCGAGTCAAACCTTTGCAGATAAGGGGAAGGGGTCCGTTTCAATCGCCCATGATTCTGCATAGGAGGGTGTGCTGCGAAGCGCCGGATTCGAGGACCGACGAGATGTGGCTTTGTTGTTCGTGGGCTGCTCGAGAGTTTACGGGCTCGAGGTGCTTGGGCCGCTTCGGAAGGTTTCCGGCCCACTCACTACTAAACCCAGTGCTACTAGTATGGTAAAGGAAACACAAACGCCCTTGCCTATGCAGAAGAACCCGTTGCTGGGAGCCTAATGTAAACCACAGTGCCTGCACAGTTCTGTGTGGCATATTCACATACGCAGCTAAGCACGCACACACACACACACATAGCATTAATAGCATGTGTGTACGACGAAGATGTACGGATATTTATATGTACAATATATCTTATGTGCGGACGAAGGTACCTACGTGTGCATGTGTGTAGGTATGTATGCATGTATGTATGCATGCATGCATGCATGCATGCATGCATGCAAGAGAATGAATGTAGGTATGTATGTCTGTACATATGTATGTGCGGCTGTACGTATGCATGTGTGTATTTGCATTCACATGTATGGGTGCTTCGTATGTGCGTTCTATCCATTATCCATCCAGCTACCTATCTACTTGTCTACCTGTCCACCCATGCATCCATCTATCTACATATCTACCTATCTACCTATCTACCTATCTGCCTACCTATCTATCTATCTATCCATCTATCTGTCTATCTGCTGTGTCTGTCTCGCGGTCTTGCTGTCCGTCTTCCTGCGCGTCCCTCTGTCTGTTACTAAGTCTGCTTCTCTGTCCGTCTCACTGCTCTCTGTCTGCCTGTCTCTGTCATTTTAGATCTGTGCGTCTACCTGCAGATGTAGCCTTCATGCACTACTCGCATCGCAGGATGGCCCGGAAGAGACCTTAGTCTGCCTGGGGGCCGCTCCCGAGCTTCCGGAGGCATCTTGGAGGATCCGAATGCAGAACACATGGGATCACGGGTACATAGTCTGCACCGTCTTGTGTGTTCGTGTGTGTGTGTGTGTGTGCGTGTGTGTGTGGGTGGGTGGGTGGGTGGGTGGGTGTCTTTGTGTGTATCTATGTACGTACATGTATGTGTACATGTACGTGCTTGTGTGTACGTGCGTGTATGCATGTTACTTACATAGCGGGGCTTCGCATAGGAGGGGTCAAAACTCCCATGGGCCTGAGCTCTCAGGGGAAACAGTGGCGAAAGAAGTGGGGAAGTGGAGTGGGCCAGAGACGAGGGGTAAGGGGCCACCAGCTGATCAAGCGAAAGGACCTGGGGCGACCTTGACCACATGCTGCATATGTGTCAATACGGTCTACATGCTTTCTATTTCTGTGTAGATTTATAAACGCATGTGTATACACACATACATATGTGTACGCCTGCACACACGCACACGCACCGGGACTTATTTCTGATTCATCCATCAATGTCAATGTCAAGAGTTTTGCAAGGAATGTCCCTGGCAAGCACCGGCAGGTCCTCAAAGCTGCAGCTGTTATTCGGGACACCTTGAGGCTGTGCCGGCACCCTAGCCTCTCGGTCTGTCTCTCCTCCTCTCTTCTCTCTTCTGTTGTTTTGCTTGAGAAGCAATACCTGACACCCACGCCTCCGTGTTTCTGACTGTTTTGGAGCTTCGCTGCTTCCAAGCCCCCAGGCCCTCCACAGCCTCCTGCACCTCACTAGGTAGGTGCTGTAGGATAGTGTGAAAGCTCTGATGTTATGCTTAATAAACTCGATGCCCATCGTGTATATAGTATATCACCAGTTTACCTGAATGGTTAAACACATTTTACACAGATAATATGCACATACATGTAGACCTGGTGTCGTTTGAAGTTGTTCGCAGCTGTTATATAGTTACAACATGTGCGTACGTGTATGAGGCTAATACACACACCGGGGTGGGTTGTCGTACGCATGTACGAGACACGTTACATCAAAGTCGCTCTCTCTGGCTCGGCAGGCAGAAGGAGGCTGAGTTGGGAGGCGAAGGCCCTCGTCCCTCCGGTTTCCCAACCGCGTAGGGCCTTCTGAATTTGGAGCCTTCCTGTGGTCTTGGGAAGTTGCGGAAGTAGTACCTTTGCGGGTGTCTGAGCCCTGAGGCCGTAGTATTCTGAATCACTTAGGCTTTAGGGTTGAGGGTTCAGGATGATAAAGGCGCCATTTGTTGCCGAGCTTCCAGGCGCCGGCGCGCTGCTCTGCTCTGCCCGGGCCTCCAGTCTTCTGGGCCCTTCCTCCTTAGTGCTCGGCTGAAGAGGTTCCTCGTTTTCTTCGGACTCTCTTGCCGTGTGGCGAGTTTGGGTCGGAAAAGGTTGGATTGGACTGTGTCCTTTGATGATGTTTCGCTACATGAACATGATGATGGTGATGGTGATGGTGATGGTGATGATGATGATGATGATGGCATGTTTCACATGTTGGGGACAACATTGCATGACCTGGTATTACATCTTGCTGCCACCTTGGTCTACTCACCTCGTGGGACGCGGAAGAGATCCAAGATTGCTGGAGGATTCAGGCGGCGCCAAGTCCAAAACTTCTCTCCAGCCCAAACTGCCGGATGTCAAGAATCGAACCCTCGAAGAGCCCTCAAGCTTTGGCTTCGGCCTGAAGGATAGCCGCGTGGCGCAAGCAATCGAGTGCAGCGCGCTCGGAAGTCCTACACACTGTTACACACTTCGTGCCTCTGCAGTGGATAGCCAGGATGAAACTAATTTAATGATTATGGGACCGATGATGCTTGTTGCTGATGAGAATGACGGTAAGGATGATGACGACGAAGATGCTGCTGCCTTTGCCAATGTTGATGCTGAGGATGATGGTGAACTTCCGCCGCTGCACATGTATCTATGAGACTGAGAGTTGCGACCACACAGCTTTTTCTGAGTTGTGGGCCTGGCCAGTTTCTGATCATAGGAGGGAGGAGTTTTTTCCGCCGGCGCGAATTCTGAAAACTTCATGTTCCTCAGAGGGTTGCGCCGAAACCTCTACCACAAAGGTGCCGTGCTGGATTACGCCGCGCAGCGGTCGGCCGACATGGCCGAGGTTACAGCTTAGCATAAGGCCTAATGTGCAGGACTTTTAAGATTCGAAAGCATTTCCATCACGCATCATATCTTTATCTGCCATCCTGTGCATGATACTGCAAGGAGCTCTTCACATTCTTGGTCTCACTGTTTGTGGAGTGGCTGCAATTCTGTGTAATCGTTTCCCCCTAATATTAAACCGCCCCCCAATACAGACTCGAAATGTAATTTTCATTAATAGGGGGTGTGTTTTTATCTCTGCTGCCACTTTTGAGGGGTTGTGCTCTTGCTGCTGCTCTTGCTCTTGCTTTTGCTCTTGCTCTTACTGTGCTCTCAGGGTATTGGGAGCCTCGAAACCCTCCCCCTAATTCAGAATAGGTGTTAAAGGGCAGGGATGATTTCGGGAGGATTTGCCCCAATGTTTTTTTCATTTTTAGGGTGGTGTTTAATCAAAGGGGGAAGTGATCAGCCCCAATCCCTGAGTCAGGGCATGCTGTTCAAGGGGTCTGATGGCACGGTCCCTCTGCTCCGTCGAGCTTTATGTCATAAGACCTCAGCAGCAACCAGCTTGGATCGATCCTAAACCCGAAACCTTATACCCTCAGCCCACCCAGCCCTAACCGGAAAGACCAACTCCCAAACCCCGGAAGCCCCAGTAATGTCCGTGAAGCTGGCGGCAGGCCGAGAAGAAGCGGAGAAGAGTTGATGAGGCCGATGGCCTACGCTCGTCGGTCTCCCAGGAATCTCCGAGGGCCCAACCCCCGAAACCCTGATATAGGAGAGTATAGGGGCCTCAATAATCAGAATAGGGTTCTGGGGCCCCTTATAGTATAATAATAATACTAATAATAATACTGGAGGATGGGAAGAGGCGCTCAAAACAAGCTAGGCTTTAGGGTTTAGGGTTACCCTAAACTTGGGCTCAGGGATTAGAGTTTACAGTATACTACACAAACAATCACGTTGGGACAACTGAGGCCCACAAGGTGGAGGGAAACCCTCGCTCATGCAGGCGCGGGGTCTGAAGCTTGAGGGTTGCTTGTGCTAACGTCCCGTGAACCTCGGCGCTGAGTTCAAGTTGCTTATGCCTGGCCATGCTGTTTGCTCTTCCTGCGCGCATCCTGCTGGCATCATTGCGGTTTCTTTCGGCCTGTTCGGGAAACCGTCACGGCCGCGTTGGTCGTGGTGGACCGGAGGTCTCAGGTACAGTAGGAGAGTGTAGCTGGAAGCTTCCGGTGCGAGGTGGAGGCTTTCTTTGCGATGGCGGGATGCTCGAGGCAGGGGGATCAGCAGCTTGGAAGTGAAGGTCTCGAAGCTCCGAAGCCGAACCAGGTTCACGTCCACTCGCTCGTAATTCTATACCCACCTCAGGGAGACATCAGCTTGAAGCGACCTCATGGCAGGCATGGCTGGACGAGGCCTCTGCCAACCGCTCCCTGGCGTTCGAACTGCTTCAGCTGCAGGCGCCGAATGAGACATGATGGGATGTTTGCCGCTTGCTTATGCGCCTTATGCGCCTCCTCTGGCTTTTCCAGGACAAGGCCATGCGCTGGTACACCACGGGAGCCCGAAGGCACTGCCTGGCACCCAGAGGCCTTCGTGTGCTTCTTCGAAGCATCTTAGTAACAGTAGCACCACACTGCCTCCGGCATTCACGTGCAACTTATGGGGTTACATGATGGCATGCATATACACCCTGAACCTTGAACCTCAGCCGAAATCCTAAGCTCTGAGCCTGTAAGCCCTGCAGAGACGGCCCGAAGCTTCCGGAGATTCCCAGGCGAGTCCTTCAGAGGACGGCTCCTGGATGCTGCGAAGACCCTGCAGGACGGCACCCACGAGAGCTGCAGCTGTTCAGGATCTTGCCAGTCTCGACGTCGCTTTGTGTGTGTGTGTGTGTGTGTGTGCTCCTAGCACTTCCGAAACTGGATCTTCGAAAAGCATCAAACCTATCGCGCGCGCGCTCGAGGAACTCTTAAACCACGAGCTCCAAAGGTGTGGCATACTGTAAACATGGTCACGGCTTGAGATCCGCCTTGGCTGGTAGAATCCCGCGAAAAGGCCAAAGTTGATAGAAGTGTCTTACCAGGATACGAAGCTGCGCCGGGCTGAGCGGACCTGCCATTAGGTCACGGGAGCGCAGGGAAGGTTTGGGCCGTACAAGAGGGTAGAGTAGCCATAGCTGCAGCTGTAGTTGTGGTTGTTGTTGCAGGAGGCGGAGAGAGGATGAGTGGTAGTAGCAGGACGACTAGAAATTTGAGCAAGACAGCAAGCCTTGATTTGGAGCCCCTTAATTTGGAACCCACCCTCGTTCGGCTCGAGCTCCAGCCAATGCCTGCTGGAGAGAAGTGTCAAGCACCGCCTAAATGCAGATTGCAGCGTGGGTAGAGTGTAGGGGGTCATGGGTGTTGTGCACTAGGAAACTGAAGCATTCTGAAGCATCAACCCACCCGCCCAAACACCCAAACCAGGAGGACGACGGAAACACCACGACAAGAGCGTCATAGCCAGGGCTGGCGACTCTCTCGTTTCATGTTGTATTTTCTGGCCTTTGTAGAGTCATGTGTGGCCGGCTGCAGACGGCCTTTAACGACACGATCTGGCCCGAAAGGGATGATGGCACCATACCTCTGCCGGATGGCTTATTCTCAGGCCAGGCAGAGAAGAAACAGAAACACGCCGAAGAGGTAGTCGACTGGGCTCAGATTCCCCGCCAGGATTGGCTTGAGTTCACGAGCGAGCCAGAAACCATCGCCCATACTGATCTGCTGTCATCGGATTGGGTACAAAAGACCGAGGAGTGCAGAGAGCACGACTTGGATCCCGAGGGCGAGGCTGCATTCTACCACCCCTCCTTCCGGTTTAAGCAGCCGGCCTTTGCTGTGCATATTCAGCTTTTGGAGAAGCGGAAAGGCAAACCACAGCAGAAGATCTGGGATGTGATCTACGCTGGCGGGGCGGGTGCTGACAACGAGATCGTCCGCTCTGCCACACCCAACGGCGGTTCGCATCCACTCTTCCGGCAGTTCTGCCAGCCTCTGTCCGAGGAGACCCGCTATGAGCTGCATGTGACGGACGTGACCCGGAACAGGAAAGGGAAGCCCAGGAAAAGCTTCGACGAGATCCTGGAGCTTCGGCCAAAGCCGGATCTTCCACGCACCTTCCACCTGAAGAAAGGTATGAAAGTGCCGAAGAAGTTCTCTTTTGACTACTGGCTCCGAAAGGAGAAGAAGGAGCAGGATCGAGAGAAGAAGCTGAACTTCCTGATGCAGGGCCTTGCCTGGAGTCCTCGAAGGCCACTGAAAGTGGCAAAGAAGAACTTTCCAGATGGCCCAATTGACTTCTCCCCGTGGACGATCGACCCAGAGACTGGTGAGCGGGTGAGCCGAGAGGATCTCGCAGACTTCCTCTGAACCCCCCCCTTTCCCCCCCGCCCACCCCCCAAAAAAAAGGATCGCGGTGAGCTGGCAGTCAGCAATGGTCAAGGAATGGCAGCAGGCCTAGTTGGAATGTGGGGAGAGATCATGTCTTCTCGAGGCTGAAGCCGCTGATCACCGAAGAGCTGGCACAGCTCCGTGAGGCTTGGGGCATCTCAAGACTCTTCAGCCAGAGCCATGCTGTTCCAAACTGTCCAGGTGCAAAGAACTCGTGTGGATTGTTTCTTGTTGGTTTGGAGGGCTGAACCTCGCGCAAGGGATTTGAAGGGCTCTGTGCAACTCATCTAACTTTCGCTTTAGAGCGGGAGAGGCAAGTCGAGATCAGGGTCGCATCTCACGAAAGTCCCCAGCATGAAGGCAATTATTGTGGTCTTCCCAAAGCCGTGTCGCACTGCATTATCAATGCATGCCGCTGTTCATTGTGAGCATCGGTTCGAGGTTTGCTGTCTAGAGGTGGAGAGACCTCCGGCTTCCGCATTCAGGCTGAGGCTACGGGAGCTCGAATGACTGGATATGTTTTGGCTAAGGAGCTCGTAGGAGGCCAGAGCTTCGAATCTCAACAAGATTATGCAGTTCTGCATAGGTTCAGTTTTTTTTTTGCGAGGTCGGCACACATTGTTTGAGCCAGCTGCATTCATGTTACCTGGTGCACGATTATCCAAGCTGCTCCCGTGGCTTCCGAGGTATGGCAGCCCAAGCGAACCCAGAAGAGACCTTACCCCGGAGTCTAAGCTTTTCCCGGGCTAACACCCCCCCCCCCCTTTAGATTGATGCAAGGCAAAGCGAACTTTCCCCATCCTTCCAATCCAGCAAATGATGGACTGCCAGGCTGTGTTCAGCTATCCGGAGGAGGGGGGTGCGCCCCCTCGACTTTTCCGCATCTCGCCAGCAGTCGGCCACGGCAAACAACAACCGTGTAGTCTGTCTGCAGAAGCAGGGTCTTAGCAAAGCTGAATTGCAGCTTCGGTTGGCGTTCCGAGGCCTTCCCGAACACCCTTCATCGGGAAGCCTCGTCCCACATATTCCGCTGCTAAGCAGGCGAAGCTGCCATGATGTCCAACCGGCTTGAGGCCACCATACTGCCAGGTGAAATCTGTTTCTGTCAGCACATTGGTTGACAATTTTCCACGGCATCTGTCCTGCTGCCTTGTGTCCAAGTGCCATCGCTCTCCTTGTTATCATTCATCTTCTCGCTACCGTTTGCAACATCGTGTAGGTGGAGCTCACTTAGGAGAATCTGCCAGGCCGACAAGGACATCGAGCTGATGCCAAAGCCGCACCAGCAGTCACACGAGGTCCCGAAGACTTGCAAAGGAAGAAGAGGCAGTAGTGGTCGTCGTCGTCGTCGTCGTCGTCCTAATCGTAGTCGCAGCCGTAGCCGTAGGCGTAGCTGCAGAAGCAGTACTACTAGCAGGAGCAGTAGCAGTGGTTTGTAGCAGTCAGTACTAGCAGTAGGAGCAGCAGCATCACCAGCAGCAGCAGCAGCAGCAGCAGCGGGGGGAGCAGCAGCAGCAGCGGGGGGAGCAGCAGCAGCAGCAGCCGCAGATGCAGCAGCAGCAGTAGTTGCTCGTATAGGAGTGCGGTAGAGCCTGCATGCAGGCGCGACGAGGTAGTACGATTACTACTGGTGGCATGCCGAACAAAAGGGGACCAAGAAGTAGTTGTCTTTTTTGAGGGGGGCGTGCGGGTAAAACGATCTCCAACAATGCCCAGACAGGTTTTGCAGCCAACCTCAGCTGCTCTTACCCTGTAATTTTTGTTACTCACCCAGAACCTTGTACCAAGCAGCACGGCGAATGCAGAATTAGGAGCCAGAACGTGAATTATTCTGACAATTGAGCCAAGCAAAGCATTGAACAAAGAGTATTGCAAGCACAGCTCCCGTCAGGTGATTTCGTGCACCCGGCACTATTCTGGTTTCTGCCCGCGCGCATGAGAAGCTTGGATTGGAAGCGGTATTTCGTGCATATGAATGATGGGCTAAGGCTGTGCATGATGTCCGTGAGCCGCCTGTTGTGATCCGGAACTAGACCTCATCGAATCTTCTGCCAGGCTGGAGTGAGCCGCCCCAAAGAGGGACGGGAAGCGTTCGCCGCGCTTAGCCGTGAACGCATGTTTCAAGTTCTGATCAGCCAGCACCCACAGTACTGGACTGCTGTTTCCGAATGTGGAATTGCCAGCAGGGCGTCCAAGTCGGAAGAAAGGGGCGAGGATGATGCTCAACTACTGGTTACTTATGCTTGTATTGAACGGTCATTGTCGTTGTCAAATCTGTAGCTGTTCTTGTTGCTATTGTGTCCATACTACCATTGAGTGTACGGTTACCAAGCATATGACGATTAGGTTGGTGATCATTGAAGGGTGATGGTTTTGATGATTGTTAGAGACATGCGCATGACGATCGCGATGACTACTTTGCACAAGCTGATGGTGATTATCTAGTGATAACCATGATGACGGTGACTGCTTGCACGCCGCCGCGAACTGTGATATTGGCGCAGGTGATGATGATCATGTTCGTCAATGTTCTGACTGTAGTGGTGGTGGTAGCAGTGGTAGTAGTAGCATTGCTACTACGACTCGCAGCCGACCACAAGGGGACAACAACAACAACAACAACAGCAACAACAACTATAACTACAACTACAACTACAACAACAACAGCAACAACAACTACTACTACCACTAC